AAAGAGAAGAGAAATAAGAATATGAAGTTATGGAACCATTTGCATATTCAGCAGATCTGCCGCCTGAAAGAAACATCAGTTTCTTAGTTCAAACACACCTTTGTAAAAAGGTGCAAATGATGCCTAATGTATCAATTAATAAGACTAAATTTGAATACTTGCACGTCTCGTCTGTCTGAAAGAAAGGCTTGATGCAATCTGAAGGTTCGCATGGATCTTTGCAGAAGTTGGTTGATGAAAAAGAACCAGTTTGCGTCAGAGAATCTTGGTGAATGAAAAAAGTCAAGGCCGAAGCCTGGCACGTACTTAGAGTTTCCTGGAGCATTGTAGCTCACATTTTCATCTTCTCAGAATACAACCGAACCACCGAACTCTGGGCGGGTCCCTAGTGTGGGGCTTTTAATGTCTCGGAAGATTCCCGCCTCTCAAAATGGGCTTGTCCAATGAGAAAGGCTGAAGTCCCAAGTAGGAGTTCTGAGATACTGGGGGAGTTTTATGACCCTTTGTGTGAGGGCATGGTACTTTGCAAATGCAACTTGAATCGAAATTACTAAAGATTCTCAGGACACTAATATATTGCCTATGTACCAACATATAATATACACGCTCATTTAGATCATCAGAAGGCGAATTCATAGATACTAAACATGGTGAACATGAGTGTTTCCATCATAAGCCTGCATAAAACAGTATAAAATCTCAAAGACAACATACACCATGACCTGAAGGATATGTGTGTTCATTCAAAGAAAGGTCTTCCTATGAATTAATTAGTAGAAAAGTCAATTTCTACTGTGCATTTGCCTCTTGCTATGGAACATGCAGTGATTTTCCCTACTCACATTCCATTAGGTCATAAATGTATCTGGTGTCAGGGTTGCCATGGTAACCAGGGGGGGCCTGGTGTCGTTGCAGACATCCTGGCATCCAGTTTATTGGGTGAGGGGACTGTGACATTTTGTTAATCTAATGAATAACTGATTTGTTAAATCAAATGAAAAATTGTGTGTTTGATTGGTCCAGACGCTACACTAGAAAGCTACAGCATGTTGGTGCTAAACTCTGCAGGACAGTTGCCCTCCAGGACCGAAGTTGCCCAGCTCCGACTTACATGATGTATTTCCTGTATTTCAGTGATTTTCAATCCTGGTCCTGGGGTACCACTGCTCTGCACATCTGCACAAGCAGTGGCTTTTGGAGCACATGACTTCCATAACATTGCTAATCATGTGGTACACTTAGCCTCAAATAAAGTGTGTTAAAAGAGTTTTTACATTTTCTTTTTGGACTTGAGACAGTCTTACACTATTTCCTGTTGCATGCATTCACTCTCAAGTCTACAAGACCGAAAAAATGTGGGTACTGGGACGGATCCTCATCCTCAATCTTGAAAGTGCACTAAGGATTTGTGGTCTCACTATTGCCTTCTGTGGTTAAAATATAAGACTGCAATTGAATTTACTTGCGCAGATAAATCTGATGATTTGAGGGATTTCCATGGTTACTAGTCATCACCACATCAAAGCGGGTCTGACAGTAGAACGAGAGGAAGTCCAGTCAGTAAAAAGGCATATATTCGAAAAATATATTTTCTGAGCAAGTAGCCAGAACCTTTTCACTCCGTTTACAGACAAGACTTAAACATGCAACGGTGAATGGCATAAATCAGCAAATTCCTGCCATATCTGGCTCTATAAAAATATAAATCATTATTGCAGGCTTATCATTCTTATCAAGAGTAAGGCAAGAACAGTTTATTTAACAACTGCAATCTTTATTCTTTTATATATGTATATATATATATATATATATATATATATATATATATATATATATATATATATACATACATACACACACATACAATTTAGAAACTTGAAATATGGAATACCTATGAAATACCTATTGCAATGGCATTTAAACAGCCTTACAATATGACTGCATATGATTAAGGCTTATAACTGCAAAAGTTTGTTACGGTGACCTTTGTGTCAAGCATCCTGAGTGTGGAACCCTCCCTTGTGCCAGATATAGCAGCTGAGGAACATAAGCAATGCCCTATTACATGACTGTGGGCACTGAGTGCCCTGCCAGTGCAGCAGGGCTCCTCCTATGCACTTATGGGACTCATAACCTTATGGGCATATTCATTTGGCACTACTAACCTCCTCCTACAACACAATGTTCTGGAAAACAGGACAATGATGGAACAAAACACATATTTGGGATCAGACTTTTATTTGGACTCACATAAATAACAATAGTTCATATATATATACTTTTTTGTATATTATACAATTTTTATATAATATATATTTCCTCCTATGATTTACATTCTTTTTTTGCTAAGTTATATTTATTTAAACAGGAGCATTATGTTGATGAACACAGCTGCTTGAGCACAATAAAGACGGTAATATCAAAGAAGAGGAATTGGTTCTTTCATTTTTTTGTTCAGAAAAGTAAAAACAATCACTTGAAAACAGAAATGAATGTAATTAGTTCATCAGTCTTAAATGCAAAGTAAAGCACGGCTAACTGGAAACCTGATATGCCATAACAATATCTTTCCTGGACATTTCTCATAAAAAAATGTTTATATAAAACAGCAGAGAATATCACAGGAAATGCTTCGAGTCGGGCCAGATCATCATGCAGTGACCCAGTGAATCGCACTTGAACAAACAGATCAAACTAGATCAGAGATTGACTCGTGAGTTCTGCTTTCAAGCTCCTCACGTTTACCTTTCAGCCTCAGAAGAGGCTGCAAATGAGTTTTCACATGAAAAGTGACCTGAAATAAGCAAATCTCAAACAATTCCTCAAGATTTGCCCATGGATATCACTAAAGATCAATGGAAATATTGAAGACTTTCTGCAGTACATGTCATCTTGCTCTTTTTAGCATGCAGGGTTGCACTCAAGATTGTCAGAATGTGAGACCAAGACACATGACAGCGGCTGCTGCACTGACAGCAAGAACAGAACTGACAACAGTGTGACTGAATGAACTGAGACGGAGGGACGCCTCCACGATCGACTCCTTGTTGTTGTGCCGCACCAGGAAGTTGTTGTTGCAGCGTGAGAAAACCCAAGATGATGAGTTTTTGCCGCTCCATTCGTTTTTGGGTGCTGACTTGTAAGCCACTCCAAGAGCGTACCTGAAAGGGAAACCGATTTGAAATGTTGCCATTGGAAAGCAGGTGAGATAAAACTGATTTTAACAACTTGTTAGTTCATTATATAAGACATTTTAGTTTAGTAATATCATTTATATTTAGCATCAAGAACCTGGGTTCCCAAATCTTGATATTTATTAAAATGTTAATGCACCATGTGAAAATTCAACTGAACTTCACAGTCAGTGATCATTAGGAATGTCCCAAATCCTAATACCTTATTCAGAAAGCACAAATAAAGACATTATTACAAAATAACGGAAAAAATGGTTAGATTTATAATAATATATTACAAGCACAATGTAAAAATTACACACACAGTGTACTCTTTTAACTGTTTAACTGTCAGAAATCCGAACTTGTCAAGAGTAACATTACAGTAAGTACATTAAGATGCACATTTTCCAATTCTTGTAATGTCTGTTACATTTTTTAATGCACAATATGTTCATAAGTACGGAGCCCCGCACATGGCATGCGGGAAAAAATAGTAGGCTGAATCGTTCACACGATTACTATTTCGTTCCCTCGATTTATAAATTGTGTGCACGATTTATAAATCGAGGGAACAAATTAGCAAATTGAGGGAACTAAATAGTAATCATGTGAACGTTTTAGTACAACGAGGGAACGAATTAGTAAATTGTGCGCACTATTTATTTATTTTTTCTCGCATGTCATGGCTCCGTACATAAATGAAGTAGCATACCAAGAAGAGGTATGCTACTGTGTCTTTCAAAAACAAAGCAAATATAATCAGCTGCAAAAAAGCACCTAATATTGTGCAGTTAGGAAGTCTTGCTGCCTTAAAATTTTAAGTTTAGTCAACTTGAAATGTTAAATTGTACTATGTGACAACTTGGATATTCGAGTTAAGGCAGCAAGCACTTACTTTTTTTAAGTTGAAACATGTTTTTTTTTTCAGCGAAAAGATAAATAATATAAAAATTACTGAGAAAACTTGAGAAAAAAATAAGAACTAGTAACAGCATTGTGTATATATAATCTATGGATACTGTAAATATATATGAGTATTATACATATTATAATATTAAAGTTATAATAGTATAATTTAAAAAATAAATATTACCAATAATATTAAATCAGTACAGTAAATAATGTTTTATGTACTATATACAGTATATAGAAGGGAATCTGGTGAAATATATATATATATATATATATATATATATATATATAT